AATTCATATAATTAAAAGACGGGGGAAAAACCCTCACACATACCTACAAAACTTCAAAACGATTTAGCAAGTATGCATAAAACAAAGTACAATGGTTTCAAATAGTAAAAGAAACAAAAAATAAAACCTATTTACAAAAGTAACAATGACTAGAAAAAAAAGTTACATGAAAAATGTAAGTAAAAAAAAATTATAATTTTTTCCGTGAATCAATAAAAAACATTTATTATGCTACATTTTGCAAAAGCCATAAAATTAGTTTGCAACAATAAATGTAAAAATATACAGAAAAACACACGTCTGTTCAGCATATACATTGTCAACAGTATATAAAATGTAAAACCCAAAATACAAACAGAAATTATCAAAATAAATGAAAATTAAAAGCACAACCATGACTAGAAAAATGCCATCACATTTGTGGGGGAAAAAATCAATTGGATTTCTCAGTAGTTTGAATTCCACCCCTTCACAAAATTTAATTCAATTATTTGTGAGAACCTTCACAACACTGGTATTTGAATTTTAAATCACATAAAAAAATGAAAAGAGGATTACTAACTTGTGAAATGAATATAAAAAACCTTAGTTGAAAGCATTTTTCACAAATAACATTAAGAAAAATGTTTTATTTACTCAGTTTGTACATCTGGAAAAAAAACTATACAAGAGCGAGTCTAATGGCTGATATTGGAGCAAATATTTACAACTATGGATGCTTTGAAGTATTTTATATGAAACTATTTAATAATGCTGTTCATTGTTTCAATTAAAATTTTTTTTACTCTTTTTTTTCCGGTCAGCTCACTGGGTTGGAGTTTTGGTGTTTCTTTTGTATGCACGGACCATTGTCCCTATCTTTTCATTAAGAGCTGTGATCACTGCTCTACTGTTCAGCCCGAATGTCTTTAAGGCATAAGCTAAAACACAAAAAGCAAAGAATAATTTCCCTTCAATTAAAAGAAAGACATTAGAAATATGTACATGAAACACGAAAAAAGCAAGAATTATTTCCCTTTATTTAAGAGAAAGACATTAGAAATATGTACATAAATTTACACTGTACAGTTGTTATGAAAAAAAAAAAATAAAGTAGACAGAAAATTAAGCAAATATAATTTGCTTACTTCATAGCATACTGATTCTCTGTACAGGACTAAAAATAATTGATGGCCTGCTGGTCTGGGACCAGTGAATTTTAAATAGGGTTGGTGCATTGTTGAGAACATGTGCCCTTTGGCTTTTTAAAATCTACTGCTGAGTGGAACAGTGAAAGTACTAAGTTTGACCAGTAAAAATTTAAGGGGATAACCTGTAACCGGTGGGGAAAAAATTCTTTCCCAACTATATTAAATGCAAATTAAAATTGACTTGAAATTTTCATTTATGCATTCTGTTAACTGTAAATTTGCCCCTGACAACCAATATAAACAAAAGATTTTTGTAAAACACTTCTCCATCCCCCCCCCCTCCCCCAAATAATTGGATTTTTTCTAAGTCTAAGAGGGCACAACTCTGGCAAAAAAAGCCCAATCGTACCTAAAACAGAACTTGACCTAGATATTCTTATGATTATTCTGTATAACAAATTTCATATCAGTATGTGCAACCTCTGCAAAGAAAATGAAAAGAAACTTTGTAAACCAACAGACCAACTGACAGACAGCAGCAAAGCAATATGAACTTCCTCTTTAAAGGGCATTATTAAGAAAAGTATTCTACCTTTCAAGGCTTTTCCAACCAGAGTATCTGCCAATTCACATCCTGTTTTTCCAACCACGTCCTGTGGTTGGAAAAACCCATTGATCATTAGTTTCAGAGCACACGACTTCGTTTTCCCTTTAAATGTCCCCTGGATGTCGTTCAACCAGGGGACGGGCACGAGGAGAGGTTGTCCCTCGACCAGCTCAACGTATCCTGGTGGGGCATGACTGTCAGTTTCAAGGATTTTCTACAATTGAGAAAAAACTTAGTAATCTATATAAAGAACTGGAAACCTTTCATTATCATCATTGACTTCTTCACCTGAATTTTAAATAGAATTTGCTTTTGCACAAACTTTGTTTATGTTAGACCCAGCATTATTATGGGAATTAATATTCATCTAGTAAAGTTACCAAGTTAGGCTACATTTAAAATAATGTTTGGCCTCTCCAGACTCAGCATAGAGCCCCCTCCCCAAATTTAAAAAATCATTACTGAATTTTCATTAGATCGGGAAAAGGCGATGAACAATAAAGAAAGCTTTTTCAAGATTCAAGAGCGTACAAACTCAAAACAGAGAAGCAAGCACACTTACATAGTTACATTTGTTAATCTTAATGCCTCTTTTCGGCATGTAGTGGTCCTGGCTTGAAAACAGGGCAACATTGTTTGCAGAGGATTCATTGTGTTGTGTCCGGGATTCTGAAATTATAAAGCATTCCATATTGAAACAAAGACACTAGATCTTTAATTTATTGATCATGTATATGGATTACACATGCATTAAAAGTTTAGTTTTCAAAAGATTACATTTTTCAAAAACAATACAAATGAACATACATATATATGTATATAAATAAAAAAAAATGGGGGGGGGGATTTCAGTAAAAAAATTAATTTTGATGTACGCTAAAAAAAAAAAGAACCTAGTTCCTCTTTCAATCTGGTTGCTTCACCTCTCCAGTAATCCAAATCTCTCTCCATCTGATCCATGTATGTCTGTAAACTCTCATACCTCTGGTCTTTAACTAAGCATGTTTCACATGGTCCAAGATTCGATTGAGTAAAGTCCGAGTTCGTTAATGAGGTGAAATTTGTTAAAGGGTTTGAGACAGGAGATGGTGGTCGTAGATCTATAGGAGTTAATGTGGAAAGTGATGAAGAGTGTGGTGCATGATGTTTTGAGACAGGTGGGGAAAAAGCAGGAAGTGCAGAAGGTTGTGCATAAGAGTTGAAAACAGACGGGGAAGACATAGGAAGTGCAGAGGGTGGTGCATAAGGGGTTGAGACAGGCGGGGAAGACATAGAAAGTGCAGAGGGTGGTGCATAAGGGTTTGAGATAGGCGGGGAAGAGACAGGAAGTGCAGAGGGTGGTGCAGAAGGATTTGAGCCAAGGGCAGAAGTAACAGGAAGTGCAGAGGGTGGTGCATAAGTGTTTGAGACAGGCGGAGAAGACATAGGAAGTGCAGAGGGCAGTGCAGAAGGGTTTGAGACAGGCAGGGAAGAAACAGGAAGTGAAGAGGGTGGTGCATAAGGGTTTGAGCCAAGGGCAGAAGTAACGGGAAGTGCAGAGGGTGGTGCATAAGGGTTTGAGACAGGCGGAGAAGACATAGGAAGTGCAGAAGGGTTTGAGACAGGCAGGTAAGAAACAGGAAGTGCAGAGGGTGGTGCATAAGGGTTTGAGCCAAGGGCAGAAGTAACGGGAAGTGCAGAGGGTGGTGCATAAGGGTTTGAGACAGGCGGAGAAGACATAGGAAGTACAGATGGTAGTGCAGAAGGGTTTGAGACAGGTGGGGAAGAAACAGAAAGTGCAGAAGGTGGTGCATAAGTGTTTGAGATAGGCGGGGAAGAGACAGGAAGTGCAGAGGGTGGTGCATAAGGGTTTGAGACAGGCGGGGAAGATATAGGAAGTGCAGAAGGCAGTGCAGAAGGGTTTGAGATAAGAGGGGAAATAATAGATGGTTGATGAGGCACTGAATTAGTATATGGAAGTGTAGTTGAAGGTTGGCAAGGGTTAGAAAAGGGCAAGGAAATATTTGGTGTTGGAAACAGGGGTAAGAATTGATTAGTTACAGTTTCTACCGTGTTATTACCTAAAGTTTTGGAAGTTGGCATGCATTGCTTAAAAATTTCCTCAGCATCTTTAATTGCCGTCTCAGCTCTTTGTTTTTCTTCTTTTTTCTTTTTCTCTGCATTTTCTGAAAAAAAAAATACAATATATTTTTTTCTACTTAAGGACATAATAAATAAATTGCTAGATTCTCATCCAAACTTTTTTTTAAAAATCGATCGCTGCTTGTATTTCATCGTAAGTGTACTCGGGTTAATCCCTTAGTTATTTCGAATTTAGGCATATCAATAGCCATTAACAGCACGCATTTAATTTCAAAGTTATGTTTTTTTCTCTTGATCTGTGGGGGTTACTATTATAATATTACGTTTAGCTGTTTAGCCTCGATATGTCCGTATTATAAACATGGACGCAAAGAATTTAACAGTGAAGAATTTTATTTTGTAAGAACATGCAGTATAAAAACACATAAGGTGAAAACTTAATTATTTGCACCTTTGTATATCACCTGGTCAATCAGGCATAATTATTGCTACCAACTGTAATGACAGCCGCCAGGGAGTACTTCAATATAACCGTTATGAAAACAACTCATTATCACCTGTGGGGACCGATCAGTGGCTTCAATATAAGCGAAATTTCAATATATCCGATTTCAATATAACCGTTATTTTAATGCAAAGAATATGAGAGGCAAAAACTGGGGATTTATTTCTATTTCAAAATAAGCGAGTTCAATATAAGTGGAGTAAGCTGTATATGTGTATAATGTATACTTGAATTTTCTTGGGAGTGCATCAAATGTCCCTTTTCTCCAGATTGGAGAAAGAGCATTATGTATATATTCAATAATACAAATTACAATTGAATTGTTACCTTTTTTTTGTTTTACAAGTTCACTCTCTGATTTCCTCTTTCCTTTGTTCGGTTTCCTTTTATCTTTCAGAAACTTTGAGCATTTTTCTTTATCGTCTGAAAAAAGGAATGCACACTATATGACATTTGTTTAATATGAATAAACATTCCTTAAGTCAGGAATTGTTTCCTGATGAAATACCAGCAGAAATAAAACCATTAACATATATTTTCATTTTTATCTTTAATTGCTTTTTCCTACACAGAAAAAGGTTGATTTCTAAATATCAAATTAAAATGAGAAATAAGAAAATACACATGCAAGCTAACTCCTTCCAATCTTGTAGTCAAAACAAATGTACATTTAAGAATTTTTTTTAAGTTGTGTGTGACCTATTGTTAGGTTGGCATATATCATAAAGTTTGCTAGCTTTTCGCTGCCCAATATCGCTCAATACTTATTAACATATTTGTAGCCTTATTGTACGTATCATCACATTAGCACGTATCTCTGTTTACATTTCTATTTGAGAGTATATATGAAAACAGTTTATTCAAATACATTTCATATTTGCCTACAAAAACTTTTATCACAGCAAATGTGAATAGAATAGGTATATAAAAAAATTCTGTCTAATGCAGAACTGTGCAAACTGTTTTACTGTTAATTCCAACCTTTATTAATTTTCATTCCCATTTTATTATTTCTCTTTTCCTTTTTTTCTCTCCACAGTATCATAATTTTAATATAGAATACCAGCTAGTACCTGATGCAAACACAATTTCCCCCTCGTAGGAATTCCCGTCCCTCCACATCCCAGAGCAGGAATCCCCAACGGCAAACGATCTGTCTAGTGCTGTCTTTCCATCATCGTCCTCTATGTCTTCACCTGATATTGGATCACTCAGCTCTTTGTCCAATGTAAATTGTACAACATACCACACTGAAACCACAAATTTAAATTAGTATTGTATATCAATACCATTACAATTTTGAACAGACTGCTTGTGTGCAGAGTTCTTGAAATCTTAACGTCCTGTCGGATAAAAACAACCAAGGACCAATTAATCATGCATTCTGTGGCAGACCAAATGACCGGTAAGTGTTGACAGAGGGATTTACAGGCAACTCGTACACAAACCGAGTCGTACACAAAAAGTCAACTCGTACACAAATCAGAAGTCAACTCATACACACACTAATTTCATTTTTCTTTTTAACGTTTTCCTATGTGATTTAATGTATAGTTTTCCTCAGTGTTAAAAAATTCTTTTTGTGCCACTGATTTAAAAAAAAAAAAATTATAAAAAATTCAAATACAGTATTCATCTTTTAACTGGAATTTTTAGGTTTTTTTTTGACATAGAAATCTGTCTGGACTGACAAACTTCACATGGCTGCAGTCAGTCCAAATGACTGACCGCAAAAAAAGATTTCAAGAACACTGCTGTATAGTGATTGGGAACCGAATAAAAATAGTTGGATATAGTCAGAACAGGAGTATCTTTAGTTAATATCTCGTTTATGAACTAAATTCAATTGTGACGGTGTATGTACCTGCAAATATTTGTGAAAGACAGTCACACTAATTCAAATTTTTATCTAAGTGGCTTTTTCCATGGGCGTCGGAAGTGGGGAGGGGTGCTTAACTAACAAAAAGTGTAAACCCCAATTTTCAATGCCTAATTTATTATGTATATATTAGCCCCTTCATGGTCAGTCCAGAACAAAACCCCACTAAAGGTTTAAAGCTTGAATCACAAAAAATGGGGGGGGGGGGGCTACACAAAATTTGGCAAGAAATTATTAGACCCGAATTTCGACCTGTCGCCCATGTTCATTTGTAACCAGTTGAATACAGGGGGTCAGAATTTGCAGCATAGCAGATGGGTAAAAATAAGACATCATTCAGGGATGTAAAGGCTAAATTGACGACATAATAACGTAAACTAGAAACTATATAGTCCTGACTTTCAAGTACTATCCTCTATTATACAGTTATGTGTTTTATATGAATTGAATATATAAAAAATGTAAACACGTCATATAATTATACATACTAATAACTCCCTCCAAAAATCTCCCTGGTGGTTTCACCTTTCTTCTTCCAACCATTTCTTTCCAATTTCACAGTGACCGATTCGTGATTTGAGATTTGACAAGTCCAGATTTTGGCTCGAGTCAAGAATTGCGCCAAGATCTACGATTGGTCAATATATTCGAATATAAGATATACGAACAGTTTTTAGAAAATCGAAAGTATTCGTAAAGTAAATTTGAGAAAGATTTCAGTTTACTTTTTTTCAATATAGATTGAAACAAAAAAACTGATACGAATATAAAAAAATAATCTAAAGTTTTGTTGATGAAGGTTAAATGTTTTTTTTCGTTTCGTTATAATAAGGATTATCCAGAATGCAATATTCCTTTGTTTACTTCCGGTAATGAAACCTAAAACCAAACACAAAGGAAAATGGCAGCAAAGCAGATACATGATCCAGAAAAAGACGAAAACATTTGTAATATTGAAGGTGAAGGTATGTAGTTCATTGTAGAGAAGTCTTTATGAAATACACATTCTTTAGCTATGTTTTTTTTGTACAAAATAACTCCTTACAATGGTTAACACGTATGTACATATTGTATTCCCGAATTTCCTGTGTTCTTGCACGTTACTCGTTAGTCTATCAAGCTCGCTTCGCAAGCAGCACTGCTCATACCGGTCGATGGACCTTTTTTAGACTATATTCTACCAGGTCCAGCACAATCTCTTGATTAAGCTATATAGCTTTATTAAGCTATTCAAAATAGCTTGATAAAGCTATTTATATGCTATTTTTTACAAAAACGTTTTTTGAAAGAATTAAACAGAAAGTCGCAAATATTTAACTATTCATATATGTAATGGACTATCAAAAATACAACCCAAATCATAGAAAGTTCTAACATTGCTGCTGTTGAATACTTTTAAGCAAAATATGAATTTCCATTGTTTGAGTAACTGTGTATGTGGTGAGGCGTGGGTAAGTATGATTGCTTCTCATTGTGCTGAACTGTTAATATAACCAATTATCCTGTTGGCCATAACTGGTCTCCTTTATAATTTCATTCAAGAAATAACTGTGTGGTCACTCATCAGTAGCCCCAAAACTTTTAAAACTTTGAGTACAAAGTCTCTCAATGAGACGCAATTTGGTGAGTGATTTTTACATGCATTGTATTCAGAAGAGTACAAAGTTTAATATTTCCACTGCACGAAGGTGCGACTTTTTGTACATGCTGAAAAAATAACACATTTGAGAAAACAGTCTGAGAAAATAGCTTAATCAAGCTATTCTGAATAGCTTAATAAAGCTATATAGCTAAATCAAGCTATATAGCTTAATTAAGAGATTGTGCCGGACCTGTCTACATGCAGCTGCAGCAGACATCAGAGACGTATAAAATATTTATCTGCTGACATATGTATTAGTAAGCGTACGTTTTAATTTTGGTTTACAGATGATAATAGTTGCATTGTTGAAGATGGTGCTTTCATGGAAACCCAATGTGAGGAACAAATGGAGTTTCATTTTGATCAGGACTTGGGAAAGGAAATTGAAAGAGAAGGTAATTTAAACATAAAATTATTTATTGTAAAGGCAATAAAAGGCATATGTATTGGGATTCATATAAAATGGTATGGCATGCATACCATGGGCCTCTGTAATCTATATGTATATATGTATCTCTGTAATGTTACACATTTAGTTCACAAATACATTTTCAAAAAATTTAAACAATTTTATTTAATGTAAAATTCATGCCAAAAAAACTACTATATATAATTTGTCTTACTTTGTTTCCTTTCTTTTTTAAGAGAGCTCTCAACCAAAAAAGCAACGGAAGATTGACAATATGGGAAGAGTCAGACCTAGTACATACTCCAAAACTAGTCCCAAAAAAGTACCTCAGAACACCCAAGCTACTGGAGCAGATTTTACTGGAGACAATTGTCAACCAAACATCGAAGTTTCAGATCAAGATGATTCTTCAAATTCAACCAACCAAAAATCATTTCATGACATTATAAGTGAAATAATGGAGAACCAAATATCTACAGAAAATGATGTAGAAGATGATTTTTCTTTTGAGGATTTGATTCCTGATGATGAAAATGAAACAATTGCAGAAAATGAAGATGACCTGTTATTTACGGAACAAGAAGATATGGAGAGTTACACAAGTAACTTGATTCAGAATGAGGCTACCATTTATCCTGGACACTCAATGAGTATACACCACAGCATGGTTTTGATTCTTTTATATGCTATTTGTCACTCTATAAGTGGGGCTCAGTTAGCAGACACTCTAACACTCATCAGTCTTCATTGTCTACACACACATCCAGGATTGAAAAGCATATACATGTTTAAAAGCTACTTTGCCGACATGCAGTCTCCATTGAAAAAGCATTATTTTTGCAAAAAATGTATGACAAATATTAAAGAAGATGACAAAGTCTGCCCATCCGAAAACTGTGGAAGGACGTTCAGTGGTGCCAAAAACAAGGACTATTTTATAGAAATACCCTTGGAAGAACAGCTGAAGAAAATTATGCAAAGACCCGGGATACTGAAAGCTATTCAGTCTAGATTTTCTAGGAAGAAAAAACAGGTAGATGGTATTGAAGATATCTATGATGGCAAAATGTACAGGAAATTATTTGAATCGGGAGGTCCACTGTCCCCAGAAAATCCATATAATATTTCCTTTTCTTGGAACACAGATGGAATTCCAGTTTTCAAGAGTTCAAAGTTTTCTTTGTGGCCATTTTACTTAATTATAAATGAACTCCCGTACAGACAAAGAATGAAGAAAGAAAACATGATCCTGTGTGGACTTTGGTTTGGAGAATCAAAACCTTTTATGAGCCTTTTTACAAAGCCACTAATGAAGTCACTCAAAATGCTTGAAACAAATGGAATTGAATATGAAGTAGATAATGAACAAATCTTGACTAAAGCATTCCTAATTTGTGGAACTGCAGATCTTCCAGCCAAGAGTCTGGTATTGAATTGCAACCAGTTTAATGGACAGTTTAGCTGCCTAAAATGTCTACATCCAGGAGAAACATACAAGACTCAAAAAGGAGGAAGCGTTCATACATTTTCATATAATGCCTCTTTACCAATGCATGAATCGAGAACCTCTGAAAACTGCCTTCGTGATGCTATTCTAGCAACCGAAAACCGGAAAACAATAAATGGAATTAAAGGTCCATCATTTCTAATGACTCTAATGTCATATGACTTTGTAAACTCGACATCTATTGACTACATGCATGGTGTACTTCTTGGCATTACAAAACTGCTTACAAAATTATGGATCAGTACTACTCACAGTAAGGAGAATTTTTCCATTTCCAGTTATGTTGAAGTTATCGATCAAAGACTTCTGATGATTAAACCACCATCAATTATTACGCGTGTTCCTAGAACCTTGTCTGACCACTTCAAGTACTGGAAAGCCTCAGAACTGCGTTCTTGGTTATTCTTTTATTCACTCCCAATACTTCACGACATTCTTCCTGGAGCTTATTTGTTACATTTTGCTTGTTTCGTTCAAGGCATATTTTTATTGTGTACAGACAGTGTATCGTGCAAAGACATAGAAAAAAGTCAACAACTCTTGTCATATTTTGTGCACATGTTTCCATCTCTCTATGGAGAACGTTATGTAACCCTAAATATGCACTCTTTGTTACATCTGCCACAATGTGTTATGGATTTAGGGCCTCTTTGGGTATATTCATGTTTTCCTTTCGAAAATATAAATGGCACACTGATGGAATTATTTCATGGGACCCAGAATGTAGAATTGCAGATAATGTGTGGTTTAAACATTCTGCAAAACATGTCAAATATGATCAAAGATTTTGATGATGAAAGACTCCTTGATTTTGCCAACAAATTGCATCGCAAACACAGTTCTATAGGACCCATTCTTGGAACTTCTTCAGCATCATATCCTATTGGAAGGAGCAGTATTGTTGTATTAACAGATAACATGTTTAGCAAGATTATGAATGAGTGCAAATTCAGGCCATCCAAAATGTTGTCATACAAGCGAATTTCTCTCAGAGGAAGGGTTGTGCATTCACTGGATTATACCAGAGTACAGATGCGAAATTCCTACACAGTGACTTATTATGATCTCTCAGACAAAGAAATGCATTATGGCCAAATTCAATATTACATTTTAGCAAAATCATGTGAATGCTTTGATGACTTGTGTCTCTGTAAGTCAGATTTAACTGCTGTAATTAATGAATTGAAGTGTACAAAACAGTCAGTCATTGAGAGTAACTTTTTAAATGCAGACGTTCCACACATACAAATGGCCAGGACAACAAATAATGTTCACATTGTAAATGTGTCCAAAATTATGAATGTTGTGGTTTATTTAAATTTTTCAGAGAAATTGCCTGATGAAAAGATCTTCCTCTGCAGTTTTCCAAATACTATCGAGTCGGATTAAATCATAATTCTAATAGACAAGATTCAAAATTAATGTTTGGTTAAAAAAATAATTCAAATAGTTATGTCTTTACCAAAAGTTATTTTTTTGTTTGAAAATAATTTTATTTAGACTTGATGTTATTTGTATTTAAAATGTTAATTTTGTGTACAGGGTAAAAGTTATTAGTATTTGATAAAACATCAAATTTTGAGGGGAGAAGGGAGTATTTGCTTTTGTGTGTGTAACATTAGTAAAGATCTACCAGTCAATCTACATTTTGTTAGAATAGTTAATGTACATGTATGAATTTTTGAAGACTGTAAACTTAATTTTGTTTTTCTGTTGGACATTAATATTATGACATTTTGATCTTGCCTCTAACCCCTGATGAACTTGTACATGCAACATTATATATATAACTGTAAGTTTTGGTTTGTTTTGAACATCCAGTATGTACTCATATTTTTCAGATATGAATGAATGAAATATTATAAATTATAAATCTTTTGTGTTAGTTGTCATGCTCAGAAATCAAACATCAGGATGAATGTTTAATATAACAGGTTCTGAAAGCTTTACTTGAATAATAATAGATAAACTGGTGACAATTGCAAGCTTCGTGCAAACAAATTTGCAAACTTAAGTTTCTTGCACACTTCCTGCAAACATCTTTTTAATTTTTAAGTTTCCTGCAACCTTCCTGCAAACACTTGAAGGTAGAATTAAGATTCCCGCAAACTTCCTGCGAGCATTTTAGCTAGTTTAAGATTCCCGCAAACTTCCTGCGAACATTTTAGCTAGTTTAAGATTCCTGCAAGCTTCCTGCGAATAATGTTTTACATTGACAAAGTTTCTTGCAATATTCCTGCGAATAGTCCAGTTCCTGCTAGTTTGCAGCAAGCTTGCAGCAAAAAGCTGCAATGTTCGCCGGAAGTTT